ATTGCTAACCAGATGCTTCCTGAGTAGTATAGCATGTCAGATCAATTAATGGTTTCATATAGGACACAGGTTCGATTCCTGTCAGAGAACTTATATTTGCTATGAAATTTCTTGAACATTCAGGCCAGTAAATTAATTCACAAGGCTGGTGAGTATCAATTGTCGACAGGAATAGTTCATTTGGTCTGGTCCAGACAAAGTGAAGCCACAAGTCATAGGATAAAGAAAATGTTTTACATGACATTTCTTGTACAGAGCTGATGGTACAATATCAGTTCTTCAGGTAGGAATATATGTTCTTCATGCAGGAATATATTTGTCATGCAAAATTATTCAACGCTTCCCTCTTCAAATATTTTGTGACACTTTGTTCATCATGACTAGGTTTCTGGAACACAGCTCAAAGTCAGAGGTCTTCTTCAGTGGCAAGAAGTCATATGAGATCAGTGAAGCAGTCATCCCTTGCCTGCCGCCTTCTCCATTCAATCATTTAGGTTCACTGTTTATATGGACCTCCATCCAAAACTGGCATGGGGTCTGATATGGGTTGAAATTTTGGCCATTCCCTTAGTTTCCATAGAGAGTCCTTTGCTTGTTTGACTCTTGGAAATTAATTGCATGCCCGATTTTGAGAGGCCCTCCTCTGAGGAGTAGTGGTAGAAAAATATCGATCTACCCTAACTCCTTCCCTTTTGTATTTGTACCTCATGCCAATACTTTCCAAGGGGTGTAGACAATTCCTCCACCTTCCTTGAGATTCCACTTAGGCCCTCCACTTCTATGGTCACCTGACAAATCCAATCTCTAGACTGCATGTGCAAGCAGATGGCTTAGCTCTAATTATTAATTTTAATTAACGTCCAAAGTTTTCATTAATGGAATTCCCCGACCCCTTCTGCTTTCTCAATCGGGCATTCATCAGCTGTTTCCCTGACAGCCTCTTCTTGTGGCACTTTGGCTCTTATCCAAAGAAATCTCATCTCTTCAGCGATTAACACATTTCCTTCCTTTTTTGAAAAGTGATAAAAAAAAAAAAAAATTCTCCAACTTTGCCTTTGTTTTCAGAAAACCTTAAATCTTATCTCTCAACCAACTTTACCTTACCAGGTCTTGGCAAACAGATAATTCCATAATCTTGATTTTAAAAACAATAGTGTCTCCATTTCAGCTTTTACACTGCCACTCTCCATTCCCCGTGGGTTTAAATTATCCAGATGGCTTTTTCCACTAGAGTCCCCAAAATAATAATAAAGCCATTTCATTCCCAGTTGGCTCCCCTCCTGACTTTGTCATCAGAGGTCCTCATGTCTTTATTCTTCTGTTGATGTGTTGACAATCCAGTATTTATCAGATCCATTTCATAGCCAGTTGTCAACTTTGGCCCACTTAGTTGTTAAAAAAAAAAATCAAATATTTCTGTTTTGTCTTTACTCAAGAAGAAAAAAAAACTAATTCTCTGAATATTCTAAAATCTGATCTGATCTCTTGGTATGTTTATTGATCTATCCTTCAATCACTCTTGTTATAGCTATGAAAGCTATCCCTTCAACCCTTAAAGTGTTACATCTCTCTTGGTATAGCTATCAGTCTCAACCTCCCTCACTTCTTCGTTTCAATCTACTCCTACCTTTCTTTTTCTTGTTTTATGGTTTGTCCTTTTTGGTCACCTTTCTTCTCTCCACAAAAGGAGGTTTTGTTTTCTCTTTAACAGGTGTCAGCTCTTGTTCCAAGTATTTTTGTCAAATTCAACCTGGTTTCCTCTTCATCTTGGTTCAATACTGTATGGCATTCTTTGCTCAGGATGCTGAATACTCACCAAAATCAATTTCTTTCTATGCCTTTTTTAGCTTCAATACTGCTGTTACTATAACAGCAATAAATATCAGGGTACCTACTAATACTGATCAGTTTGTTATGATTTTCCTGTTTTCTTTCCAAAGTGTACTCTTGTCTCCTAAAGCATCTAATCTGTCTTTCAATTGATCCAAACTAATTCTCTCTACTGGCTTTAATAACCCGGCAACTCCCCTTATATTGGGCAGCATTTAGGCTAGCCCTTGCAGAGAGCTCTTAATTGGGCCTTCATTAAAACAACACTGTGTTCCTTTCCTGGACGGTAAGGATCTCTGCTTCTAAGAGATGAGGAGACATCTTTCTTGTTCCATTATAAAGCTTTGGAGGATCCAGATTTCTCAATAGCATAACTCGCACATTTTCTTTTAGTTCCAGCTTGAGGATTCAATAAGTTCAGGAACTACATTGGATAATTCACTACCTGCTCTAGTTGAACCATAGTGTTAATGGAAAAGTACTTCAAGCTTTCTTTTGGAATTTCTTGGAGAAGTTTCCAGTTGATGGTAGCCACAGTTTGATTCTTGGGAGCTAATATGGCTCTCTCACAAATCCAGTTTGAATCCATGAAATGCTATTTAATGTTTGGAATTGAAATATCTCCAGTTTGGTCCATTTTGTGTGTGTGTGTATATATATATATATATATATATATATATATATATAAAAACAGTGGAACCTCGACTTATGAACACCTCCACTTACAAAAAACTCGCCATATGAACAAAAATTTGTCTCCACTTACGAATTAATTTCAACTTAAGATTAGGCTTTCTGCCACTCAATTTCAAACTAGATATTTGATATAGAATGTACCGTAAATACTTTTTAATCTTATCTAAATAAACTGTATTTTATATTTTTTGTTTTTATATTATATTATATATTTTAAATATAATAATATAATACTGTAGTATTATACAGTATGACAATACTTTTTTTATACTGTATTTTGTATAACTAAATATTTGCAGATATATATTTTATACTGTATTTTTATTCCCATATTTTTATGTTTTATATACAGTGTACATTATTGTAATATATTTTATATTACAGTACAATTTCTATACAGTTCCATCACACTAGATGTAGTGTGATGCTACAAGCATTACATCATCCCGCTCTGTTACCTTGTATAATAAACATTTGTAGTGTACACATGTTTGTGATTATATTAGTGTAAGTGTAAAAAAAAAAAAATTAATAATGTGCAAGAATTTATGTACAGTAATGAATACAGTACAATATAGTAACTATAAATAAAGTAAATATTTTATTAAAAATTTAAAGTAAATATTGTATTAAAATTTCTTGAATTAAAAGTAGGTAAAATGTGATAATGCTGAGTTTGTTTCATCTAATCTATGTAAAGTGTGTTTAAGTTTGACTATGAAAAATCCACAGCATCAGTAACATTTTTAGACACCCGCATTTACATAGATGAAAACAGGAAACTACAAACGACACTACACACTAAAATCACCGACACCCACAATTATCTACACTTTAAGTCTTCCCACCCTAAACACCTCAAAGAGAACCTTCCCTATTCACAAGCACTTAGGCTCAGAAGGATATGTTCCAACAATGAAGAATTAAATAAACACATTGAAAATCTGGAGCATCAATTCACAACACGTGGCTATAAACAACACCTAATCAGGGAACAAATAAATAAAGCAATTTCCACACCTAGAGAAGACACCCTAATGTACAAGATTAAAAATAAATCTAGCCGCATTCCTCTAGTAACCACTTTCAACCCCACTCTGCCTCCACTATCCCAAATAATCAAAAGTCGCTGGGAAAAAGCATCCATTTCTTTAGAATATGTTGGCATCTTTTTTAACAAGATGTCAACTTTCCACCCTGATTTGAATGGTGCCCCCATGACTTCTGACATTCTCAATAATATTTTTCTTTTTTTCTATATTTAATGCATCGAGTTCTTATTTTTTCCAAAAGTTTTCTTCTAATTGCTCTTTTATTTTTCTATGGACCTCTCTTTCCCTCGCCATATGTTTGTGACGCAGATCTGCTGCCTGTTCATGTGATATTTTAATTAAACGAGTTTGCTCTTCCTTGGATTTCTGTGCAAGCCAACCACATATGGTTTTATTAATTTTTACCATCTGAATACCAGAATGGTAGTGCATTAATGCATGTCTCCATTTAAATTGGCTATAATCTAGAATGGCCAAATTCATACTCACCTACTATATTTGTCAATTTACAGTGCTTTAATATTTCTCTCACTTGGACTGTTGGTTCTTTACCAAACTTCCCACCATTTAGAAAATCTCCCAGTTGCTGCTCTGTCACTTTGACAAATTCTGACATGATTTGTCTGAGTGTTACACTGGTAATATCAGAAGTGTACTCTGGTATTTCAAAAAGTGACTCTGTAACAAAAGATATCACATTAAATCCTTTCAAAATACTGCTACCCTCATGCTTCATCAAAGGAGAACTGTCCACAGCCCATAACTTAAAATTGCAATGCATCTTTTGAATATACAAATACTGATCCACATACTGGATATTTGAATTAATCATTTTCTGAAAAGGACCACAAACTTTCACAACAATCAATCCCAGGTCTCTCATTTGTCACATTTGGTATCAAAAAATACACTTTCAACCTTCAGAGTTTTTTTTTTTTTTTTTTTTTTATATCTCTTCAATATCTCTGCACAATAGAGACTGTTTCAGTCTCTTTTGTGCTTTAATCTTTTGAGCACTGAGCATCTTTTGAAAATGCAAAATCTTTTTTTTCATGACTTAATTTTTCTTCTTTTTTATCAGATTCTGCTGCTGCACTGTCAGAAATCAGTTGTTTTTTTTTCTGCAGAAGTGTACTTTTTTGTTTTAGATACAGTTCCTTTTTTTTTATGGATCTGACCTTTTTGAGAGAAACTTTTCAGTTTCTGATATTTCAAACTGAAAAGGCATGCTGCATTCGACCACTAGCACAGTCTTTTTTCATTTAATGCCTCATTTGCAACATTTCTTTCGGTCTGAATATTTTCCACCTGAAGCTTTTGTTCATGACATACTTCAGCCATTACTTTAAGTTTTTCTTCTAAAATAGCTCTAGTTTCATTTGACTCATCAAGCTGTTTTTGTGTCCTTTTATTTTCAATTCCAGCATCTTTTAACTCTTTCTCCAGTTTTTCGATTGTTTCATTATTAGGATGAGTTGATACATCTGCATTGACAACAATACCAGGCTGTTTAGGATCTGAGAAGAATGAACAACACATAAAAGTCTTCAACTCTTTTGTTATTTTCTTATTCTTTTTCAGTGTTTTATACTTTGTGTTGATTTTCCTAACATTTTTCACAAAATAATCTTCCCTGACACCAGGGCATAAAGCATTAATTACATTGTATAACTTTGCTGGGGTAGCCAATTTATATAGTTCAAGTATCAGCTCATTCATTACTTCTGCACACAAAAGTTTACAACCCAGCATTGGATCCAACAAAACACTGAGAGTCAATCCAACACTTTCACATCTTTCACCTATGAATCCCAAATTTGTTATCTCATGGTACAATGCAGGACGATCCGCAAAATTCTCGCTCGTGTTATTCTCAACAGAATAATCAAATATCTCATTGACGACATCCATCCCGAATCTCAGTGTGGTTTTCATTCAGGTCATAGAACCATTGATATGATTTTTTCATTTCATCAGGTTGCTGAGAAAGTTTGTAAGAAGAACCGTGTACTCTATACGTCTTTATCAATTTGACCAAAGTGTTTGACACTGTAAACAGAGGTGCCCTCTGGAAAAGTACTCAAAAAGCTTGGCATACCTGAAAGTATGCTAAATGTCATCATCTCGTTTCATGAAGGAATGTTCTATCTAAAGGAGAGTTTTCAGAAACCTTTGATGTAACAAATGGCACAAAACAAGGTTGTGTCATGGCTCCTGTACTTTTCACTCTCTTCTTTTCATTTATACTACACCATACTTTTAGTAATCTTGACTTAGGTATGAAATTTGTTATTCTGCACAAGTGGCAGCCTCTTTTGACCATCAACGTTTTAAATCAAAATTGCTGACTCAAGCAAGCATTATTCATGATCGCTTGTTTGCTGATGATGCGACTGTGGCCACCTCAATCGAAGAAGCTCAAGCACTCGTCAACCATTTTTCTACCACTTGCAACGCATTTGGATTAACTATAAGCATAAAGAAAACTGAAGTGGTCCATCAACCAAAGCCTACATCTAAGCAGGTCAAGGGTGTAAAACAAAAACCACCTGCCCATACCTTTCCAATCGTTCCTATTACTGTTGGCAGCAACAACCTGAAGTATGTGAAATTATTCTTGTACTTGGGAAGCAAAGTCAATTCAACTGCCTCTTTGGATGACCGAATATCAAAGGCAAGCAATGCCTTTGGGAAGCTTAAGCATCACCTATGAGATGTTCATGGAATTTCACTGTAAATGAAAATCAGTGTCTATTGAGCAATCATTCTCGCCACACTTCTTTATAGGTCGAAATCGTGGACACCATACAGAACTCACATCAATCAATTTGATGCTTTTCATAAATGCTGTCTTTGCTCAATATGTGGTTATACACGGCAGGACAAGATCTCTAACCCTGATCTTTTCATCAAATGTGGCGTTGATGGTATTGAATCCTTTCTGATGCAATCACAATTCAGATGGGCTGGTCATGTCATCAAAATGAGTGATGATCGGATGCCGAAAATCCTCATGTATAGCCAACTTTTTCATGGTAAGCGGAATGTAGGCCGCCCTAAGCTTTAAGGATAAACTTAAATACAACTTAATTGCTGCAAACATTCCTATAGAGGAATTCAAACCCGCTGTTGAAAACCGAGCAAACTGGAGAAAAAGCTTTTTGAATTTGTAGGTCTGATGAATTGGATCGTGATCACAATTCCAGTGTAATAAATTATAACCATGGAATATTAGTGTTTGAGCCTTTTTATTATATTCTTACTCTGTCCTGGACATTGAGTTCTATCCTCTTGGAAATTTATGTATGTATATATAGAGACCACTAATATCTATCTATCTATCTATCTATATATATATATATATATATATATATATGTATGTATGTATACAACTGAAAAGGACAAAATTCTCAATGTCAGTCAAAAGAAAATATTTTTAGCACAAAGTTCAACAATATTAACTTTAGTAAAAAAAAGTATTTATTTTGCAAAAAGATTTGATTTTATACAAAAATAGTTTTTATTTTATCCATACATTCACTGAAATATACAAGTAGATTTTGCAGAGATTTTGCTTTTTTTTTTTATCTATTATCCCGGCCTTCACTACAGTCATGTAGTGATTATAACAACCACATATATCTGATGAATCTGACCACATATTGGAGATATCTTTGACACCATTATATGAGCAAAAATGAAGTCCAGCAGTGAAACAAAACTGATAAATTTCTTACCAAAATTTTTAAAAAAAAAGGACCAAAATAGAAATTAAACCTCAAAGGATTAAAAATTCCAAACAACTGCAAATTGTTACCAAGTGAAGAAAAACTGACCGTTTTTACTGACACTATATACAGACACTGAATGGTTTCAAGAAAGCAATGTAGAAAAACAGAAATTTTAAAGAACAATAACTGAACATTGCCAATATTTCTAATGAACACAATGCCAAAAACCAAATTGCACAAAAGGAATGATATAGTTTCAGTGGAAGTCAATATATTCCAGAGACTTATGGGGCAATTTCAGATGAGGGTGGAACAGATGATGGATGTTCAGGACTATGCTTCTGAAAAGAAAGAAATGATACACATTATTAATTAGGATTTCAACAACAAAAAATCTTTCAAATGAAATATAATTTGCATCCTCATTTTCTTTGACAATGATTTATCAAGACAACAATGCAACCATTAACAAGACTATCCCTATTGGGGTTGGGGAAAAAAAAAAAAAGGAATTTTTACTGTACAAAGCTAATCTTCTGACAACAACAGTGAAGAAAGGAAAAAAGAGCCAAGGGCAATAATAAAATAGCTGACTTTGTTAATTTCTTTTAAAGAAAAACCTTGAAATACATGCAAAACTACATTATTTTTCTTGTTTCACACGACAAATCCATGCTTCAGTTTTTGATGCTAATAGACAAAATAGATGGTGTAAGTATCCCTATTATCCAAGAAAACTAAAAATCCATTTACCTTCTTCTTTTTCTTTTTCCTTTTTTTCTTTTCTTTTTCTTCCTCTGTACGTTTTACTTTCTTCTTTTTATCATGTGCTGCATCTGATGAATTCTCTCCTGTAAAGAAATCCCAAATAGGTCCAGTCATTAAAATATTAGATTACAACATTACAGACATTTAGCTAAAACAATGGGGAAAATTAACTTTTGCTACCTAAACACTAATTCTCATAGATTAAAGTATTATGTCTAAGTAATCATTTTTTATTTTTTTTTAAAATTACATTTTTATGTAGACATGCTGGAGAGATGAAAAAAAAAAAACTTCTCAAGCTTCATTCCGTGAGTTATGAGTATTTTTATGCACAGTGTTTACATATTCTCTCACTGATGAATCCATTTGACTTTGTTTCTATGGTCCATTTTTAAAGAAAAGTAAAGACAGATTTTAAGACAAAGATGTTAATTAATATTAACATGGCCCATGGTTTTCAAGCAGAATAAGGAAAAACTGTTCAAGAAAAACACTTTTCTTATTTCAAATCAATCATTTAGGAATCCAATGGAGGTTATTATTATAAATGATTATAGTTTATATATGTGTATGTGTGTTTTTTTTGCAAAAAGTTCAGATAGAATATATCTGTAAAAGGACAATATGAATAAAGGCAAAAGGAAAACTTATCTTAGCCACTGCGTTTCATCATCTAAAGGACCTTATCAAGGCAAATTTATTCATATATATATAGGTGTAAAAATTTCTGATATAACTAAAATATATCTGAAAAGAATAATATGAATAAAGACATAAGTGACGTAATTTAATGTCTAATAAACAAAAGTGAGTGAATGATGTCGTTGAATAATATCAAAATAATTATGACCACATTCCAAAACTATTACGGATATGATCAGAACCAAAATACACATAACAATAATAATTCAATTGTTACAATGGCTCTTCAAAATACATTGGGTAAACTTGCAGAAATTTAAAGAAGTGAAAAAAAAGTTTCTCATACGCAACAATTTATCAAATGCATTTGCTGTACATAGAAATGAATTCAACCACAACTTTGACCTAAAGAATGTCACATTAAGAGAAATTAACTTACATAGACAGGAAATTTCGAGAGTGCCATTATTGAATCTTACCAAAATATAAATCTGTGCCCAGATTTTTCCAATATCTCCATTTCTGAAAGAATTAAACCTTTCCCAAACCAACATATATAAACTATAAAAATGTTAAAAAATTAAATGAAAATGGTAAAAATTCATAAGCTCCTGTTATTTAAAATATATAATACATAAATTTATCCTCTACTAAAATAATTTAAATATTAATTGCACAAAAAAATCAACATCATTTACTCACTTTTGTTAATTAAACATTAAAATATATTATTTAGCATCCTCCATAATTTACCTAGACTTTTCAGTTAATCTGATGAATGTTTATGAGTGTCTCTTAAATTAAAAAAATTTTAAAAAACTAACATTTTTACTTTTGTTTATAAATAATGGTTGGAAAATAAAATCCTTACATTTGCCTTGACAAAGTCCAACAGAGAACAAAACACAGATCAGCTAAAATAAATTTTCCTTTTGTTTTATTCATATTTATATGATTTTCAGAAATTAAAAACCTGATAATATGCATTGAGACAAAACCAGCAAACATAATTCTTTAAAGAGATTCCAAGAGATTATTATTTTCTGCATTCCAGCAATAAGCACACTCAACTCACCTTGAATTTCTTGCATGCTGCCATCTTTGCCAATTTCCTTCTTGCTCTTTTGTGTTTATGTTTCCTTTTCTGTGGTGTTTGGTTAAGAAATCTATACTGTTCTGAAGCTACAATTAAACCAAGAAACACTTGTAGAATGAATAAATGTCATTTTTTTTTTTTACTATTACAACAGACACAACATTCGGCGAATGTTGTTTCTTACAAGGGAAATATCTTTATAATTTCAATCATCAGCAAATTTCAGAATAGTATACTTACAGGTCCAGGATGAAGCCTGAATCCAGTCAAGCTTGCTCCTGACAGTGGCATTAATTCTCGAACTGTGATTGGAGGCTTCTCAATCACTGACCGTAATGAACTGCAAATGAAAATGATACCTTCTTATTATTTTTACTTTTGATTGCAGCCACAATTAAATCAATTTTTCTTGAAACACACTTTCTCTGGTCTTTTGTAAATAGTTTTTACATCTTAACAAAAGCAAGTTTCACTGATTAGAATATTTGTCAGATAATCTGAAATAATGTCTCATTATTATTCACATGATATTCTTCTACTTTTCTCAAAAAATGCTTTTATGGGCATTTCTCTTTTTTTTTTTTTTACAGAGTTTTTCATTCTTTCTAAATGAGGTATTTTCATTACTAGTATTTATAATAGTGATATTTCATTAATAGTTTCACTCCCTCATAACATTCTAGGTCAATAGAGTAAAACCTAGTAATAAAAACATTAATAGCAATAAACATTCAAATTTGTCTATGATACAAATGCTGACAAATATAGCACTTTTCCTCTAGAGATTATAAAATAAGCAAATGATTTCAATAAGTTGTGAGTTATTTTAAAGAAAGTTTCAAATTAAGTTTATAACTGGCCTCTACACCATGTTTAGACCATTCAGCAACTTGGGGTGAACAGTTAACATGTAAATTAAAGTAAATTGCAGGAATTGGATTAAGAAATTTATTTTCTTTTAAACAAATTTTTACTTTTTACCTTTGGATTAACTTAAGTTTATTATTTATGATACTGAAGTAATTATAATGTCTATTTATTTTATTTGAACAAAACGAACAAGTATTTTTGCTTTTTAAAAGTATGTTGAATTTTTTTGTCTTTCGTAAATAAATAGAAGACATTAAAAATGTAATGTCTTTCACTGTGAAATTAATGGAAAATGACACTTATTATAGAAATTATCACATAATTAATGTCAAAACTAAGTTCAATAAATTTATTAATATTTTACAGCTATTCTTAAAAAGTATACCACAAAAATGTAAAAAGAAGACATTATTCATTGTCTTGTCAATATTGTCTCTTTTTTTACTTTTTTGCAATTATTTTAAACAGCAAAATGCACAAAACAAAATGTCATTATTAAGAATTTTGTCACAGAAAGTTAATTTAATTTTTCATTATACTGTTAAAATAAAAATTCATTTTTAAGGAACAATTTATGTTTTCTTTATAACACATGAAGTATTTTAATATCAAATTTTATAAGAAAACAAAAAAAACAAAAAAAAAAAATGAATGTAACTTATTGCACTGCTAATTCTCCAAAAAATTACTATACAGGAATTTGCACATTTGAAAAAAATTTGAATAAAAATTTCATTAAAAATTTTTTCTATGATATTCTTCATAATAAATATATGTATTTAAAAAAAAAATGTATATTGAATTTTATGAACATTGTTGACATTAAAAATGTAAAACAAAATTTACCAGTTCACCATAAAATACAATTATCCAAAAATTTTAATGAGAGGTTCAGTTCACTATGTAACTTCAACATAAAATGGACCCTGATCAGTGAAACAATTCGCAAATCCTTTGGAAGCACATAATTCCTTAAAGACAATGGAAAGATGACAAATTCCTACATTCATATACACACTTTAAACTCTTTATTCTGAATCCTAAACCCTCCAAGACCTTCCTTTATACACATTTTAGAAGCACCATTTAATAAAATTGTAATTTTTACAAAATAATAGTTAAGGTTTTTAATTTCAGTACCCCAAAAAATCTTTCTGAAAATGATCAATAAGTGCTGTGTAACAGATTATCATGGTAACTATGAATTAACAAAATAAAGTTTGTGTATTTTGTCTTTCTCAATGGTTAAAGGCAATACTTTAAAAGACAACCCCATTGACAAACTAAACAGTTGTTTTATGAAGGGCATTTTCCATCTGATTATGAAACAGTGTTTATTACAAAAAAAGTGTCACCCAGAAATCCACCATCAATATTTGATCATTTGCCATGAGTGTATTACCTAGTCCTCAACCAAAACCAACAAATAAAATTTCTGCTCCTGTGTGCAAAATGATGAGTTGGCACTGTTTCTAGAAAAAAAAAAAAAAAAAAAAAAAAAATTCTTCACTTTTGAAAATTTGTATTAGAATATTGATCATCAGGATTTTGTGTCAGCAATTACATTTTCAAATCAAACAATCAGCTGTTCATATAATCGGTAGATTTTTTTTAACTGGAATTATTGCAATGTTTTTAATTAAAAGTTTTGAAAACTTGTGATGCTTGTAATTATACAACAATTTTTTTCTCTTTCAAAAAGTCAAATATCAATGTTTCAGCAATGGTCATAAATCAGTGAATCAATTCGTTATCTTACTAACTTAAAAGTTGATAATAAGAAAAGCAATTTTTTTTTAAAGGATGGGGACAAAACTTGAATGATAAAATGTTTAAATGGTGGATCAAAAATTTTAAAGAAAATGATCCCAGAGGCAACATTTTATATGAAAAAATATTATATACTGTTGATGCAATCAAACGGTCTAGTAATTGCAACTGTATGTAACAATAACAAGATGTATCAATCTGACATGGTTTTTAATAAGCCTTGAATAAGTAAAATTACTCATATTTTGATTATGTCCACCTCTTTAAAATATTTGGAATGATAGAAAATGGAAAATTGTGAAAAGGTCTTTTGAGTATTAAAAAAAAAAAAAAAAATCAATTTGGTAAGCTGTTGAAACTAACTGATGTAGCAGTTTACCTAAAACCTATTGAGTGACAAAATTTTTCCCATTGTTTAATAGATTTTGTGATCAAATTTAGCTGCCATTAAAACATACCCATTATTAAATTGGGAGGATACTGCAGAAACAGTTAATTTCATTGAAAAAGTTTTAAAATTTTGGAAAATTATCTGTGACACTAAGAAAATGACCCACTGAAAAAGGTGATATCAGATTTAGATGATAAACATTTATTATTTCTTTCTAATTTTGGAAAAATGACAAAAAAAGAATGGGACGAAAGCAAGGAAAAATAATGAAATCATTAAAAAGAGATACTAGTTTAGCCAATGAACATACATGTAATGGCTTAATTGATGTTTGTAGATATTTGATAAGTAGTGGGTTTAATTTTGTTATGCTTGATGAATTTGCCACAGACTATTTAGAAAATGAATTTGGAAGACTAAGACAAAATTCTGGAGATACATATTTTATAACAGTTCAAAATGTTATTGAAAAATTGAAAAAAACTAAACTACTTCTTAAATTAAATGTTGATGTCAAAGAGTACAACTTAATTGCTCAAACTGTGGATGAAATGGGATGCCAAACATTTGATAACTTATCAGACCTTGAAACTAGGATCACTAAAGATATTAAAATGTCACTTTTGTCAATGTAGCAGGTGATGCTACAAGAAAAGATTGTCCCACAAAAGAGGAAATATTTATAATATCAGTTTTTATTTTCAAGAATATGAACATTTTTAAAATAAATAGTTTGTGGTAATTTAAAAATTCCACTGGATACTACAGGGATACCAGATATTTTTTACTTTCAATTTATCCCCATTTTACATATATTTAATTATCCTGTTACTTTTGTGTTCTTGTTAATGTAAATTGATTTTAATTTTTAAAACTATGTATACTGGTAATATTTATTATTGTATCATAGCGAAATAAGTATTTTCTTCTTTTGTGAAACAAATTGTATATGTAATAAAAATCACAATAAATTTTGTAAAGATTATCAAAATTATTGTTTCTCTGGAATTCACATTTTTTATAAAGTATTTTCAGACATTGTCGATACACCATTTTGTAAAATGCTGAAATTACTTTCTGATTGTAATTTTCAATTATCTAAAAATTTCTCTAATTTATATTGAATAAAGTGATTTTTGTGCATTTAGTTATTTTATGGTATTTTTGTTCTTTCTTTGTATTGTACTGCATACATTTATGGAAATAAGTCAATAATTGTAAGATGCTTCCTAATATTATAAATGTTGTTAATTAACTAATTCCTGGACATTGCTAACAAGTTCCTTGCTAAAAATGTTCTCAGGAATTGTTATTTAGTAGTAATTTAGGTCTCTACAAGTTCAACTGCAGTCACATAGGTTGCCAGGCCTGGTATAAGGATCGCCTTGGTTTATACTAAAAAACAAATACATCAATATACCTTGCATCGTTAAGACCAGGAGAATCTATATTTCCTGGAAGATTTGGTAAAAAGGCACTCAATTCCTCCTTGACTTTCTTTGTAAAGAATTTATTGTAAGAATTACCAAGACCATGGTAAGACATTAAGTTTGTGTAGCCTGTCATCTCAGCTTGATCTGAAATGAAAATTAAACAACTACTATCAAATGTACAGTTCAAATGAGATTTATCATCAGAGAAAAATAATACATCCCAACAGATAAATCATGCTATGAAAAGCAGGAAAATTATTGTAGATTTTTTTAAACAGGATATCTTAAGACTTTGGCCGATCAGAAAATAAAATGTTTTCTTTTTTTTTATTTTTTGAAATGTCTTTATTCGTCTTGGCCAATTCAATATTTTCCTTTAAATTTTCTTAATTATAACAAAAAATAAACGGAAAGATATATAAATTTATTAATGACACATGTTCACCGAATAGACAACTTGATCTTTTTTACAATCATGTTTCAATTTTAAATTTATTTGTATATTCAATTCAATTACAAAACCTTGGTCGTGACTTATGGGAGTCACATATGACTTTCCTTTTTGCCTGTAGAATGAAACACATAAAAAATGTTGGTTACTTTTCAACCCCAGCTGAAACAACAACAACAAAAGATAAAATAAAAAATGGAATCAAGAATCGCTTTTAAATTTAAAAACATGAAATGCGCGTGCTCTTTGTTAGTGCGGGAAGTGTGATTGTTAAGCGTTGATTTTTTAATAATTATCTAGAATTGTAGCATAGCTATTAAAAGTAAAACTAAATATACAAGTAGGAAAAACATCCTAAGATCAAATTGGATCAAATTAAATTTGGTTGTGAAAGGAGCAACAATTTTAATTTTTAATTATTAAATTGCTGCTCCTTTCTAAACAATTCGAACCGGTGGATCTGATTTCTTATTGTCTTGGAGCCTTCATTATTTATTTATATATTTTGAAAAAAAATTAATCGAATTTATTTACGGAGGCATAATTTTTTTTACGATTTTATAGTTGCTGTTTGTTGTTTGATTTTTAACAAAAATGTTATCATGGAAGACTTTTCTTAAATAATTTCCGTTTTTCCACCAAACTGAAAAGAAAAAAAGTAAATAACATTTAAGATACGTATATTACTTTTGATTGGCATAATAAGCGTCATGTACAATTTCAACAAAGAAACGTTCGTTCAAAAGAAGTTTGAATGTATTGCATTCAAATATTTTTTAAAGAATTCCGTCGCTTTTTTTGTAAGAACATCTTCACAAAGAAATGCTGATTAATGTTGCGGCGAAACTCAACTCCCAAATCTATCCTAAGAATAATATCGATACTGATAGATAAGAAAAAGAAGGTAATTTTTTAAAAGTTAAGAATGTGTGGATGTGCATTCTTGACTAAATAAACATAAAAATATGGAACTAAAACTCTGCAAATTATTTCTAACCTGGGACATCTTTCATGAGATAAAAAGGTCCCGAATGAATAACAGACGGAACCTTTCCTAAACTAATTGTGGTCTTCAGGGTGCCTGTAGAATCAGTACGAGGATATGCTGGTGATCTAGAGCCCCTCGGGCTTGATTTTGGGCTTGATGTAGCTGGTTCTACCCGACGCGGCTGGTCAGCCATCCTCTCTTGACAAAGATATGCTTACACTAAATTTCATGTCATCTTGCAATGTTTACGGGCCCAGGGAAAACATAAAATCACGCTTTCTCATTCGTCAAAAATAACTCAGGAAAACTTCAAGATATAATCTTTTTAAGAATCACGAATGTCCTTAAAACCAAAATAAAAGCCTAGGATGACGAATAAAATATATTTTGACTATTTTTTGTGTTAAACATAAAGTAGACGAATAAACTTAAAAAAAAAAAAAAGATTTACAAGTATAACACTTTACAAGTATAACACTAGTCCCGCAGTCAAAGCTGTAATTTTCGAAGTCTCTGTTGAGATATTGTAAATCAGAAGAAATTCTGGAATGAAGTAAACTGGAATATGACTTCTCAAAGAAATGATTAATCTAAAGGAAATTATTGAGAATAATTTGCTTTTTAAACCACGCGCTAAGTATTTAATAAAAATTTCTGGAATCGTTATTTAGGTGTAAATTTACAATGCTTAATTCGAACATAACAAAGTAAAGAAATTTTGATAAAAAAATCTACCGTTTTTTGGAGTCATTAACAATAAAAATTCGAACTTATAGGAAAATATTGAATTGGCCAAGACGAATAAAGACATTTCAAAAAATAAAAAAAAAGAAAACATTTTATTTTCTGATCGGCCAAAGTCTTAAGATATCCTGTTTAAAAAAATCTACAATAATTTTCCTGCTTTTCATAGCATGATTTATCTGTTGGGATGTATTATTTTTCTCTGATGATAAATCTCATTTGAACTGTACATTTGATAGTAGTTGTTTAATTTTCATTTCAGATCAAGCTGAGATGACAGGCTACACAAACTTAATGTCTTACCATGGTCTTGGTAATTCTTACAATAAATTCTTTACAAAGAAAGTCAAGGAGGAATTGAGTGCCTTTTTACCAAATCTTCCAGGAAATATAGATTCTCTGGTCTTAACGATGCAAGGTATATTGATGTATTTGTTTTTTTAGTATAAACCAAGGCGATCCTTATACCAGGCCTGGCAACCTATGTGACTGCAGTTGAACTTGTAGAGACCTAAAATTACTAAATAACAATTCCTGAGAACATTTTTAGCAAGGAACTTGTTAGCAATGTCCAGGAATTAGTTAATTAACAACATTTATAATATTAGGAAGCATCTTACAATTATTGACTTATTTCCATAAATGTATGCAGTACAATACAAAGAAAGAACAAAATACCATAAAAAAATAACTAAATGCAAAAAAAATCACTTTATTCAATATAAATTAGAGAAATTTTTAGATAATTGAAAATTACAATCAGAAAGTAATTTCAGCATTTTACAAAATGGTGTATCGACAATGTCTGAAAATACTTTATAAAAAATGTGAATTCCAGAGAAACAATAATTTTGATAATCTTTACAAAATTTATTGTGATTTTTATTACATATACAATTTGTTTCACAAAAGAAGAAAATACTTATTTCGCTATGATACAATAATAAATATTACCAGTATACATAGTTTTAAAAATTAAAATCAATTTACATTAACAAGAACACAAAAGTAACAGGATAATTAAATATATGTAAAATGGGGATAAATTGAAAGTAAAAAATATCTGGTATCCCTGTAGTATCCAGTGGAATTTTAAATTACCACAAACTATTTATTTTAAAAATGTTCATATTCTTGAAAATAAAACTGATATTATAAATATTTCTCTTTTGTGGGACAATCTTTTCTTGTAGCATCACCTGCTACATTGACAAAAGTGACATTTTAATATCTTTAGTGATCCTAGTTTCAAGGTCTGATAAGTTATCAAATGTTTGGCATCCCATTTCATCCACAGTTTGAGCAATTAAGTTGTACTCTTTGACATCAACATTTAATTTAAGAAGTAGTTTAGTTTTTTTCAATTTTTCAATAACATTTTGAACTGTTATAAAATATGTATCTCCAGAATTTTGTCTTAGTCTTCCAAATTCATTTTCTAAATAGTCTGTGGCAAATTCATCAAGCATAACAAAATTAAACCCACTACTTATCAAATATCTACAAACATCAATTAAGCCATTACATGTATGTTCATTGGCTAAACTAGTATCTCTTTTTAATGATTTCATTATTTTTCCTTGCTTTCGTCCCATTCTTTTTGTCATTTTTCCAAAATTAGAAAGAAATAATAAATGTTTATCATCTAAATCTGATATCACCTTTTTCAGTGGGTCATTTTTCTTAGTGTCACAGATAATTTTCCAAAATTTTAAAACTTTTTCAATGAAATTAACTGTTTCTGCAGTATCCTCCCAATTTAATAATGGGTATGTTTTAATGGCAGCTACAATTTGATCACAAAATCTATTAAACAATGGGAAAAATTTTGTCACTCAATAGGTTTTAGGTAAACTGCTACATCAGTTAGTTTCAACAGCTTACCAAATTGATTTTTTTTTTTTGTTTTTTTAATACTCAAAAAGACCTTTTACAATTTTCCATTTTTCTATCATTCCAAATATTTTTAAAGAGGTGGACATAATCAAAATATGAGTAATTTTACTTATTCAAGGCTTATTAAAAACCATGTCAGATTGATACATCTTGTTATTGTTACATACAGTTGCAATTACTAGACCGTTTGATTGCATCAACAGTATATAATATTTTTTTCATATAAAAATGTTGCCTCTGGGATCATTTTAAGTAAAATTTTTGATCCACCATTTAAACATTTTATCATAAAGTTTTGTCCCCATCCTTTAAAAAAAAGCTTTTTCTTATTATCAACTTTTAAGTTAGTAAGATAACGAATTGATTCACTGATTTATGACCATTGCTGAAACATTGATATTTGACTTTTTGAAAGAGAAAAAAATTGTTGTATAATTACAAGCATCACAAGTTTTCAAAACTTTTAATTAAAAACATTGCAATAATTCCAGTTAAAAAAAATCTACCGATTATATGAACAGCTGATTGTTTGATTTGAAAATGTAATTGCTGACACAAAATCCTGATGATCAATATTCTAATACAAATTTTCAAAAGTGAAGAATTTTTTTTTTTTTTTTTTTTTTCTAGAAACAGTGCCAACTCATCATTTTGCACACAGGAGCAGAAATTTTATTTGTTGGTTTTGGTTGAGGACTAGGTAATACACTCATGGCAAATGATCAAATATTGATGGTGGATTTCTGGGTGACACTTTTTTTGTAATAAACACTGTTTCATAATCAGATGGAAAATGCCCTTCATAAAACAACTGTTTAGTTTGTCAATGGGGTTGTCTTGAAGTATTGCCTTTAACCATTGAGAAAGACAAAATACACAAACTTTATTTTGTTAATTCATAGTTACCATGATAATCTGTTACACAGCACTTATTGATCATTTTCAGAAAGATTTTTTGGGGTACTGAAATTAAAAAACCTTAACTATTATTTTGTAAAAAATTACAATTTTATTAAATGGTGCTTCTAAAATGTGTATAAAGGAAGGTCTTGGAGGGTTTAGGATTCAGAATAAAGAGTTTAAAGTGTGTATATGAATGTAGGAATTTGTCATCTTTCCATTGTCTTTAAGGAATTATGTGCTTCCAAAGGATTTGTGAATTGTTTCACTGATCAGGGTCCATTTTATGTTGAAGTTACATAGTGAACTGAACCTCTCATTAAAATTTTTGGATAATTGTATTTTATGGTGAACTGGTAAATTTTGTTTTACATTTTTAATGTCAACAATGTTCATAAAATTCAATATACATTTTTTTTTTAAATACATATATTTATTATGAAGAATATCATAGAAAAAATTTTTAATGAAATTTTTATTCAAATTTTTTTTCAAATGTGCAAATTCCTGTATAGTAATTTTGGAGAATTAGCAGTGCAATAAGTTACATTCATTTTTTTTTTGTTTTGTTTTGTTTTCTTATAAGGGCAGTATTAAAATACTTCATGTGTTATAAAGAAAACATAAATTGTTCCTTAAAAATGAATTTTTATTTTAACAGTATAATGAAAAAATTAAATTAACTTTCTGTGACAAAATTCTTAATAATGACATTTTGTTTTGTGCATTTTGCTGTTTAAAATAATTGCAAAAAAAGTAAAAAAGAGAGACAATATTGACAAGACAATGAATAATGTCTTCTCTTTTACATTTTTGTGGTATACTTTTAAGAATAGCTGTAAAATATTAATAAATTTATTGAACTTAGTTTTTGACATTAATTATGTGATAATTTCTATAATAAGTGTCATTTTCCATTAATTTCACAGTGAAAGACATTACATTTTTAATGTCTTCTATTTATTTACGAAAGACAAAAAAATTCAACATACTTTTAAAAAGCAAAAATACTTGTTCGTTTTGTTCAAATAAAATAAATAGACATTATAATTACTTCAGTATCATAAATAATAAACTTAAGTTAATCCAAAGGTAAAAAAGTAAAATTTGTTTAAAAGAAAATAAATTTCTTAATCCAATTCCTGCAATTTACTTTTAATTTACATGTTAACTGTTCACCCCAAGTTGCTGAATGGTCTAAACATGGTGTAGAGGCCAGTTATAAACTTAATTTGAAACTTTTTTAAAATAACTCACAACTTATTGAAATCATTTGCTTATTTTATAATCTCTAGAGGAAAAGTGCTATATTTGTCAGCATTTGTATCATAGACAAATTTGAATGTTTATTGCTATTAATGTTTTTATTACTAGGTTTTACTCTATTGACCTAGAATGTTATGAGGGAGTGAAACTATTAATGAAATATCACTATTATAAATACTAGTAATGAAAATACCTCATTTAGAAAGAATGAAAAACTCTGTAAAAACAAAAAAAGAAAGAGAAATGCCCATAAAAGCATTTTTGAGAAAAGTAGAAGAATATCATGTGAATAATAATGAGACATTATTTCAGATTATCTGACAAATATTCTAATCAGTGAAACTTGCTTTTGTTAAGATGTAAAAACTATTTACAAAAGACCAGAGA